TATAGATATATATATATATTTAATGTATATGTTAAAATGTATATAAATGTGTGGGTTCGAAGTCTGTATCTTGAAAGCTATGGGGCAGCACTGGGCTCTAGTCTCCTCCCTGGGAAGTTAATGGTTTTCCCTGGTGGGGACAGACGGAGGGCACCTTTAGTCCATCTCTCCACTAGGTGGCAATCCCAGCAAGAGGACACACAGCCTTAGTGAGTGTTTGTTATTTATCGGTGTGGTTGGTGCTTTTTGTCACTTTTTCCATGAGAGATACTAAAGGAATTTTTATGTTTGAGCCTCTTCCTCCAATATGGAAACCCAGCAAGCACCCACACGTGGCCAGCCCCATCAGGGTCCCTGCCTCTTGAGGGGTCTGCCTGCTTGGGGAAGGAAGTTTATAGGGAGACTAAGCCTGTTCTTTCACTCTGTGACTCTTGTTTGCATTTCCTAAGAGCAAAGTGATGGTTTTCTCTTTTGTTTTTTTTTCCCCACCTTCCGCATTCTTTCTTTGCATGCTCAGAAATGGTTTGTTTTTTAAATGATATTTTAGAAGTTTGAAATTAAAACACATTATAGAAAATTAGGAAATATAAATAAGTCCAAAGAATAAAATTAAAAGTATTCCCAATTTCACAAATCTAGAGATAATCACTGTTAACATTTTGGTATATTTATTTTTCTATCTTCTGGTTTTTTTTAATGCATATATAGCTTTTTTTAAAAAGGAAGAGAAAGAAAAGGAAAGAACCATACTGTTTATGTATACATAGTTTTGTATCACACTTAAAAAATTTTTTTTCATTATATGGTGTTCCCTGTATCTTTAAATATTCTCCAAAAGTATAAGTTATTTTAATGGCTCCATCGTATGGATCTCTCATTGTTTATTTTACTAATTTCTTCTTGTTGGACCTTTGGGTTCTTTCCACTGTTTTGTTATTGTAAATAACTGTAAATGTCCTTATACATAAATCTTTGTGCAAATTCTGGGTATTTCCTCAGGGTAGCTTTTTGTAAGTGTAATTTCCGGGTCAGAGGGCGGGAACTTTTTTAATATTACCAAAACATTTCCCAGAAAACGTAGGTTGATTCCTGCTTTAATTAGTGGTATGTGAAAGTGCCCTTTCCTGAGTAGGAGGTCAGAGGTCATTGCCTCTGGTGAGAGGACCCTGCTGGAGTCTCAGGAAAGGAAGTGGTGAGAGGGGAGCAGGTTTTCCTGAACTTGCCCTTCCCCCATTGTGCTGACTATGTTGTGAATGCCTCTGGAACTTGCTTTGATACTGGCCTCTGTCAGTTCTCTGTTCTCTGAGGCCACGGTCCCATGAAATCACCATCACCATCAGGCCTAGCGCTCACACCCTGCATCCCGTAAGCAGCTCTGAGGCAGACATGTGACACTCATAGGGGTTTGTGTGATCTGTCCCCCAGGGCTCTGAATGGAATGCATCCAATCTGGAGGAACTGCAGGGCTCAGGGTGAGTCTGCTCCCCTTGTCTTCCCTTGTCCTTTTAGGCAGCATATATAAACCCTCTGCTCTGCCACCGAGGTCGAGCCCTTGTGCTGCCCGCCTTTAATTGCCTGTACCCCAGCAGCCAGGCCTGTTTGCATTGCTAAACAGATGTGCTTCAGAGTGCCACCTCCTGAATAATTCATGGATTTTAGATTTTCTGGGGGTTTGTGTGATGGTGTGTGTCTGGGAGAATGATCCTAAATCACAGTCCAGTAGTATAGACAGCCTGGATGCTGGTAGGGCCATGAGCCCCCTCTCACTGCCCCACTGTCCGGCAGAGCTCCTGAGAGTCCTTGTATGGACACACCTCTCTGATGGGCCAGTCAGCAGCTCTGATCCCTCGACCACTCCTGGTTCTATCTGAGCTTATACTTTTGGGCCTGGTGGGAATCTTGCAGCTAAATACTCTGTGTCGACCAGAAACACATGCCTGTCTTAGTTTTCTCTAAGAAATGCTCAGCAGCAAGAATAAAAAATATTTAAATCTAGACCTTCAAGAACAGATGTCTGGACATTTTTTTTTTTTAAACACAGCCACAAAATCACCATTCTGTGGGTCTGACATGACATCTTTGAATTACTACATTTAAAAGTCAAGACTAAACAAACCTTAAAATATATCTTTAGAACTACTGATTAAGATGTGTTCTTTCAACAGAAAGTATTCTTAAAATGTAGGGTGATACTGTCTATGCTTTCTATCTTGCTGGCAATAAGTAAGTTATTTTAAAGGTATTTTTAAAAGTATTTATAAGGAATCACTTATGAAATCTATTCGAGGTATTTTAAAATTTCTGAAATTATTTTAGTCTTCCAGGAATATAAGTATTAAGTTTAGAGACCTATGAAACCTGGGTTAGTAGACCCTCTCAACTATTTATTTATTTATAGCCTGCCTTGTTTCAAAAAAGATTCAAGGCAGTTCCCAAGGACAAATAATGGACAGATATATTCTGCTTTTTAACAGTTTAAAAGTGGACTTAGTTTTTTTTTAAAGCCTTCATATGCTAATAATATCTATGAATTTTGAAACTTTAAGAGGGTTTAAAAATATATTTAAGTAATGCATATATCTACTTTCCAGAATTAACATTGCTTAGCAATGCTTTGAACTGAGTTTTCTTTTGTTTTCTATTACAGATACAATACATTCTCATCATAGAGAAGGCATTTAGAAAATACCAAAAAAAAATTACTATTTAGGAAAAACAGAAGTCTTACCATAAAAATATATACCTTTTATTAATATATATTTGTTTTTTTCCTCTGGCAGTTTTTTGTTAGTTTTTTCTAGTTCCTCATTCTGATTCTCCAAATTTGTTCTTTATTTTTTCTCATTGCAGTGTTGACTACATTTTAAATGTCACTAGAGAAATAGATAATTTTTTCCCTGGCTTATTTGCATATCATAACATCCGAGTCTATGATGAAGAGACAACAGATCTTCTTGCCCACTGGAACGAAGCATACCATTTTATAAACAAAGCGAAGTAAGTGGGTGGAGAAGCCAAAGAAACTGGTCTGAGGAAGAAACTACAGATGTCGGGTGGGCAGAAATTAATGACAATCCCAGACACAGATGTCTGCTAGCTTAGGGAGCCCTGGACGTCTGATGGCCCTCTCCGATTTTAGCCCACAGCACCAAAGGGGCAAAGTTGCTGACCTCCAGGTGGGGGCCCAAATGAGTTTGTTTTCTCCTACCTGTCACTGATTATGACGTTTGACCCCACTTTTGTCATCAACACTGGTTCTGGGTAAGGATCTAATAGCAAGTGGACGTTATTGGAAGCTCTGCCTGTGGAGAGTCACCGAGCCGAAGGCGAAAGGTGGGTGGGCCAGGTTGTAGAGCGCATTTGGTACTGCTTCCCTGAGGAATTCTACTCAGGCAGATGCCTGGAGCTATAGCTTGCCTTCTCCACCTGAGTTAGTGCAATTTTCCTGTTTGAGCAGAATGGGACAGACCATGAGAGGTCCCTACTGCCTTGAGCCTGTCGGTGATTTCACCTAACTTTTGTTCTTACCTTATTCTGTTCTCTGAGGCCAGGGTCCCATGAAACAGAATAACTCTGTCTTACTGAAGTCAGAAAGAACTTTGAAATCCCATCTTCTGTTTTGTACCCCTCCAGGTCAAAGTTACAAAATGTGTCCTTACCAGTGTGGCCTCATAGTTCACTTGCATTTGCATTCCTGGGGTACAGACTTCAGACCAGCAGTCCAAAACAAGACAGAAAGATTGGGTGATGGATTTTAAGCCTGAGGTTGAGGAAATGAGTCTACTCACACCTGACAGGCTGGCCCCTTCTAACGTAAACAGGCAGGCTGGTGGGCTCTCCTCCTGTACAAATAAAACGTCCCAGGTGCTGCTCTTCCCAGCCCGGTGTTCTCTCACATTCCTGAGCAAGCGATACCTAGAGAAACACTGTGCCTGGCCTTGCCGTAAGTTAAATCAGCCAGCACTGTCTAACCTGTGGCCCCATCCTCCCCTGGCTGCTTTCTGTCTTTGCTGAGTTAGGGTGCTGCCACCCTCGCTCTGGCTCCTTGACCCTCCTGTGTCCCAAGGGCCTGGCAGCTTTCTGTTCACTGACCCCATTTTTCTACAGTAATCCATTCCCTGTCTTCATCTGCTCTAGCAGCTGAATAGCTTTTGCTTATCTCCCTTTCGCTGCCTAGTTGCTTCCTGCAAAAGGGTTTCTTAGTCTGAGAAATGCTTTGCAGCAGGAAATAGCCTGTCCCAGCGATGTGGGAAGATCCCCACTTTGTCCCTAAGTACAGCCGATTTTGGAGGTCTCCCTGTAAAACTTGCCCAGGCAAGGACAGATTTATCTAGATTTCCCATTATGTGCTAATTGATTTCTCAGTGAAGTTATTTCCTTTTGAGAGTGTGTGGACATATGCTGTGTAAACATCAGGACATAGGAGGATTTGGGCGATGAGTTAACTTCATGGTTTAAAACAGTCCATGGAGTAAAACCTGAGAGAATGAAGTTGTTTAAGCTTTTTAAAAACTTTCTCCCCTACCAACCACCCCGGCCCCTGCAGGAGGAACCATTCCAAGTGCTTGGTACATTGCAAAATGGGTGTCAGTCGATCCGCTTCCACCGTCATAGCGTATGCGATGAAGGAATTCGGCTGGCCCCTGGAGAAAGCGTACAACTATGTGAAGCAAAAGCGCAGTATAACGCGCCCTAACGCGGGCTTTATGAGGCAGCTGTCTGAGTACGAAGGCATCTTGGACGCGAGGTGAGTGACTGTCTGCAGAGGACTGGCAGGACTGAGCTTGAGCCACTGTCCGTATCTGAGCAGTGGCTTACACAGCCAAAATCCTGCCTCTCGGGAAGCCGGTTTGAGAAAAACAACTATTGTTTGAGATTTGATTAGTAGTTTCCAGGAGGGATCTGTTGTGATTTTGTTGGCACATTCAGCTGTTTTGCTGCAGGAGAGAATGGTGCTTAACTTCCAGTCTAAGGCACGGCTTCTTGTGCAGCACGGGCACGTGGATGGATGCCCGTCTCCTGAGCATCGGCTTTGGGCCAAGCGCTGTGCCAGGCTTCGCCACAGGGCAATTCCAAGGACTGCAGAAGCAGACTGGGTCACCCCCACTGACGAGCTGGGCAACTTAGGGCAAGCTTGTCCAGCCTCAGTTTCCTCTTTCTGAGCTAAGAATTAACGCCCACCTGATAGGGTTGTTGTGAGATTTAAATGAGTACCATATAGGTTTACCTTTACAGAGGCTTTGATAGACCTGGCTCATGGTAAATAACGATGTAGCTTCTTTTTAAATCTCTAACTCCTACCTGAAAAAGGTCTGCAAACTACAGGTTATTCCCCATTTATGGAGGAATAAGGAACTGATGCTGGAGGTTTTATCCCACATTCCACAGCCAGTGGACAGTGGACAGCAGAAGGGAGCACATGCCCGGGTCTGTCAGCCTTTAAGGCGGAGAAGCCTCGAGGTTCTCCTGCCCCCACAGTCACCCCAGGAGGACCCCTGCTGGACTCTGGGGTTCACTTTTTCCCTGTTCTCTTTTAATTCAGCCTGTAGGAGGCCTCCCTGGGTTATTTCTGACTGATATTGTGAGGGAGCCGCAGGCTAAGTCCTGGCCTCCTGACCACGTTTGGGGAAGCCGGAGCGCCCTGGCAGGGTTGAACAGGGTCCGGGGCTGCTCCAGACATCTCCACTATCACCCAGAGAGAGAGTGGCTGGACAGATCCCCAGGCAGGGCCGAGGAGGAGTGGGAGTCGGGGGAACGTGTGCATCCTGCTCTCCTCTTCCTCAGCCCCCAGTCACGCTCTCCCATCAGTGAGTGCCCTTTGCAGCCTGACTAGTTCAGGTTCGTGGCAGCATAGCACTGTCCTTGAGTTGCAGCCTTCTCTGAGGGCCCCTTGGCCTGCCTGGAATGTGCACACAGAGCAGTCATGAATGATCGTGACACTCTCTTGCATTGAATGACAACAGCAAACCGTTAGTTTATATTTACTTCTTTCTCATCTTAACCCTCACAACCCCATGCTGTTGGTATTGCTCTATCTAAGGGTCATTCGTGGAAGTGACCTCTTTCTTACCTTATTTCGCTATAAGCCTTTCTCTTTTTTTTTTACCTTTATGTTTTAAAAATGTAAAAATAACACCATATATTAGAAAACATATTTTAAAAACTGATATATAACTTCTCTGACCTAAACAAATATTTCCAATTTTCCGTTATCTTCCCAACTTTATTCTAGTGCATTATGTTAGCATAAATACATATAAATATAAATACATATATTTGTATAAATCTTTACATACTTTCTGCTTTGAGCCCTGTTATTTCCCTGCTATATAGGTAGGTGAGGATTATTATTTTTATTTGACAGATGGAGAAACTGAGAAATGGAACATTAAGTGGCATCCCTATGTTCACCAAATGAGAAGGGACACTGGGATCGAGATAACATTTCAGGTCTAAACCCCTTCACATGTCTGCCACATTTTTATCATATGACAGAAAGTCATTTAAGGCTTCTCATGCAAGCCACACTGATTTAGGGTCCTAATGCTGTTTCTCTCATCCTTGCATTTCTTGGGGACAGATGAACAGAGAGAAGCTTTACCTAAGTGAACCCCCTATATCCACCTGAGCCTGGTGCTGTCCCTTGCTGGCTCACCCCCACCCCTCTGCTGATCTTCCTCTGCGCTTCCTCCCCCAGCAAACAAAGGCACAACAAGCTGTGGCGCCAGCAGACCAAGAGCTGCCTACAGCCGCCTGTGGATGACCCTGCGGAGCCTGGGGACTTCCTGCCAGAGACCCTGGATGGTACCCTGGAGGCCCAGCCACCTTGCTTGGATAATGCTGCCCAGCCTGGGCTCCCAGGCAGCAGAGCCCTAGGAGAACCCGCTCTCCCCTGCTGTTTCCGACGACTCTCAGACCCCCTCCTGCATTCCCCCAGTGACGAAACTGGCAGTTTAGTCCAGCTGGAGGATCTGGAGAAGGACTTGCTGTTGGATGAAGCAGCTCAGCCAGCAGAGGCACCCAAGCCAGTCAGACCTCCCCAGGAAGGCCCTGGACTCTGTGAGAAGGAAGTGAGAAAGAAACCTGAGTTTGGGAGCCTGAAAACCCGGAGTGGCCCCTTGCCACAGGTGGAGGAGATGCAAAGGGAGGAGGCTCCAGGAGCTGGGAAGTGGGGGAGGCCCCCAACTCAGCTGGATAAAAACCTGCTCAACCGGGAAAACCTAAATAATAACAACAGCAAGAGGAGCTGTCCAGACGACTTTGAGGTAGGGGTGGGGCCAGCATGTGGGGGCAGCGGACCGCATCACTTACTTCCTGCCCTGCAGAGCAGCCCCCTCACAGCCACCTTTGCTACTCTGCCAGTTTGGCAGTTCTCACCCCTCATGACCCGTGGGTTTATTTCAGTGATTCTGCAGGCCGATTGGGAATGTAGACATATAGGGGATCGGGGATCTACAGGGGACAACACCAATCCCTGGGTGCCCCTTTCACCCCACGCGCCTCATTCACATCATGGGCAGGGCTTCCAACTCTTTCTATTTCCTTATGTAAAATGTAAAACATACCTTATCACGCAGCTTCAACATTTCTCAATATGCAGCTATTCTTAGTTCATCACACCCCCACTCACTCTCCCACATATATTATTTATTCACAAATGCTTCAGCATATAACAACCACAGTACCATCACCACCCTTAAAGCAATTGATATAGTAATTCCCCACCATCATCACATACCTGGATTTGAACTCCCATCGGTCCCCTTTAGGTGTTATATTCAGTAGGTTGTGTGCAGTAAGGTTTTAGCCTCCACCTGGCATGTACTTAGAAAACCATAAATTCCTCCAGCCTTTTTCCTCCTCCAAGTGGCGCAGGAATGGCGGCTGGTCTCCTGGAGGAGTGCGCCGTGCCGTCAGGGCTTGTGTTCCTCCCTTGCTTTGTGCTGGCTCACCACAGGCAAGAGGAGGAGCTCCATCTTCCCTAGCCTCATCCCGTCTCCCAGGACATCTGTGATTCTCAAGTAAGAGCACTTGGAAAGCTGATAGACGCATTCTAATCTACAGAGGGTCTGTCGTCCTGTTATAATGCAAACAAAACTGGGATGTTAGACCCTACCGATCTCCAAATCATAAAACATTGCAAACCAAGTATTAATTACTCATGAATTCCCTCCACTGTCCACCCTTCCCTCAAAGTCAAATACCTGTAAAGATAGATGACACACAACCTCTTGGCCCAGGATAGTGGTGCCATGGTTGGTCCTAAATGGCATAGCTGTGAGTTGTAGAATGGTGAACACAAGAGAAGCTTGGACACAGCCCTCCTTTCCTGGCCAGAAGTGGATTAAATGGGTGATGTTATCTAGGGAGCAGGACCTAGAGAAATTCACTCATTTGTTTAACTCATGTTTATTACTTATGGTGCCTGGTTAGTGAAGGATACAGCTGTGAGTAAGACAGCTGAGCACACGTAGTCTCATGTAGAGATGGACGGTTAGTGAAGGATACAGCTGTGAGTAAGACAGGACAGCTGAGCACACGTAGTCTCATGTAGAGATGGATGGCAAAGCCGTAAGGAGGTGACAAAACAAATGCAGGTGGTACTCAGCGTGATGACACAGATAAACTATGGCATGGTGGAGGATAACTTGGGAGGGGAGGGGATGACAAGGAGCTGGCCACGCAAAGAGCCAGGAGCACAGTCTTTGGGCCCAAGGAGCGGCAGGTCCCAAGGTGCTCCCTGAGGGCAGGGCACTTGGCGTGCTTGAGGAGCAGTGGTCTGAGGTGAGGTCGAACAGGTGGCCAGGGCCTGCAAAGCCTCCAGATGCGAGGGCAGGTCTCAGCAAATTGTTTCAGGGGCACTGGGAAGCCATGGGAGGGCTTTAAGCAGGGAAGTGTCAAGGTTCCTCTGGTTTGATCTGTAGGCAGGCCAGTGGGGTGAGAGTGGAAGCAGGAACCTGAGATGATGGTGGCTCAGAGGACAGGGCGAGGACAGACGTGCACAGCTTGGGAGGCATTTTGAAGGCAGAGCCCTGCTGCTGAGGTGTCATTCCCTCTGGAAAATCCTTCCTCTCGGAAAGACTTTGAGCTCATCCCTCTTTGTGCTGGCACTTTTCACGTGGTTTCTGGTCCATTCCACCAATGGACAGTAGGCCCTCTGAGGGCAGGGACTGTGTCTTGTTTGCAGCCCCTGCACCTAATACAACTTCTGGCACAGGAGAGGTGCTCCCTAAATGTGAGCTGGATGAATGGGTTCTCTCCCACCCTAGGGACCTACGGACTCTGAAAGGTGCTCTCAAATCTCCCACCATAGTAGATTTTACCACATTTTAGAATGTTAGGTTCTAAAGGTTTTAGAAGAGATAAATAGGGAGACACTTTGGTTAGAGCTTCAGAAAAATTCCTGGGTCAGGAGTTCAGGCCTTACTGTGAGCCAGCTAAGATAGAATTCTCTGGGAGACCCGGCCTCCCATCTCCCCCACCACACACTCTCCTGCAGCTTCCAGGAATCATGCCTGAGGTTCTGTTTGACTCCTCCAGTATTGGACCTGCCTGTGACTTCTTACCTTGGGGGACCGTGGTCTGCCACACAGGATAGTATTAATCTCTGACAGTAAGAGTGGTTGGGGAACAAGCCTCACTTGGCAGGAGAAGCCTACAACATCTACTCTTTGCCAGGAAGTCTTCATTTTAGACAAGCTTAGGAATCTCACAGCTAAACAACTCTCAAGGAGAGAGTGTTGGCTTTCGCTACCTCTACATTAGCTGCTTTCAACTCAGTCTTAGCCTTGAGGCGCAGCCCTGGTGTCTTCAGTGAGCACAAGAGGGAGGCAAACAGGGACGTAGAGGCACATGTCATGTTCACTTAGCCCCCCTGATGACAGAAGCAGGTGATTTTCTTTGGGAAACAGTTCCAATGTGTTTTCCATTGGTATTTAAAACCCACCTCAGCCTGGCTCCTTCATCGGGGCTGTGAGCACCTGTGTCTGAGTCTACATTAGAGTCCTTCTAAAACTGTTTTTGCCACTTGCCACCTCTCTGAGAAGAGCACAGCTGAGTGATGGTTCTTTCGAGCCATTGCTGTGTTCATGCCAAAAGGGAAAAGTTTCATTGTCAGGCTGTAGACTCCTCAAATGTAGATTTTTTCTGAAAGAAGAAGAAAGGGAGAGGTACTTACTGTGTCCAAAATATTATTCCATGTAATTATCACACTGCCATGAGGTCGGAATGTTCAGATGAGACCAAGCCTCAGAAAAGCATCATTTGGTGCAGGTGGCAGAGGTGGGTGTGAGAAGGGAGGCCCTGAGGCCCTGCTGACCGTGTGGCCAAAGGTTTGTCCAGGATCATGGGCACTCAGCTTCTGGAAAGTTTGGTTCAGCATCTAACCTACATCAGTCGTGGTCAAGTGGGTTCTGAGGTCTCTGTTCCTGCACTTGCTGAAGTGAGAATGCTGCCTCTCCAGGGCCCATCCCCCAACCCCTCCCCTTCCATGCCCTCCTGGTACTTGGTGGTCCTTGCCTCATATTACTGTCACTATGTTCTTGTCCCCTTCCAGCACGATGCTATATTTGGGATCCTCAACAAAGTGAAGCCTTCCTACAAATCCTGTGCCGACTGCATGTATCCTCCAGCCAGCGAGGCTCCTGAGGCCTTCAGGGAGCGACTCGAGAACCCGGGTGCTCCCGCCATCTGCACCCAGCCATCCTTCCTGCCCCACCTCACGTCTTCCCCTACAACCCATACATCGGGCAGGTCACGAACTTTGGAGAAGCTGGCCGCCGGCCCAACTGAAACTCCCCTGTTTCTACTACCAGCAGGCCCAAGGAGGCTGGACACTGATGGCTCTGGGGCCGGGTCTGCCCTGGAACTACCAGCTAGCCTTTTGGAACCTTCCAGAGAAACCCAAAAAGTCCTGCCAAAGGCCCTCCTTTTGAAGAATTCTCACTGTGATAAGAATCCTCCCAGCATGGAAGTAATGAAAGAAGAATCACAACCCAAGAAAGACGTGAAGCCGGCCAAGGACCTGCGGCTTCTGTTCAGTAAAGAAGCCGAGAAACCAACAACGCACAGCTACCTGATGCAGCACCAGGAATCCATCATTCAGTTGCAGAAGGCTGGCTTGGTCCGCAAGCACACCAAAGAACTAGAGAGGTTGAAGGGTATGCCCGCCGACCCAGTGTCTCCCCTCAGGGACGGTGCCACCAGCAGGCTGGAGGCCAGCATACCTGAGGAGAACCAGGACCTGGCTCCTGCCCCTCTGCCAGGGGCCCTGGCTCTGCCAGACCAAGCTGGGAGTGATGAGAAGCCAGAGGCCACCCCACCTACTGCAGAAGGTGCCTCGCTGAAAAGCCCCACTCCCTTCCTCTGCCGCCTGGATCACACCAGTCATTTTTCGAAAGATTTTCTGAAGACCATCTGCTACACTCCCACCTCATCTTCCATGAGTTCCAACCTGACCCGGAGCTCTAGCAGTGACAGCATCCACAGTGTCCGCGGAAAGCCGGGGCTGGTGAAACAGCGGACGCAGGAGATTGAGACTCGGCTCCGGCTGGCGGGCCTTACCGTCTCGTCCCCACTCAAACGCTCACACTCTCTTGCCAAGCTTGGAAGTCTCAACTTCTCAACAGAAGACCTGACCAGTGAGGCTGACGCATCCACCACTGCTGACTCCCAGGATGCCAAGTTGAGTGAGGCTTCCCTCTTACATGAGCCCCAGGCAACCCCGAGGAACCCAGCCACCGCCTCTAAACTGTCAGGGAAATCTGCCCCAGAAAACTTGAAAAGCCCCTCATGGATGTGCAAAAGCTGACCCGTCCTTAGCTGATCACGTGATCCTCCCCGGATTTCACTATGGATTTTGGTCAGCCCCTCATGTCTCGATTGTTTTTAAACAACTAGCATCCTCTGAACTTTCCCCCTCTCGCCACAGAGATGAAGAGAAGCAGACATGCAGCCCAAGAAGGAAGAGGAGTGTCCGTCGTGTGGCTGGGAGAACCAGAAGCTGTCGGCCAGCAGACGCTGAGCCCAAGTCATGTGTTTGCAAGAAGAATCGTGTCTTAAGAAGGGGATATACAGATATGCACACACATCAAAAATATTCCATTTGCAACATGCAAAAGTTGCAGTTACGGCGTCTTCACCATAGCACATGTTCCTAGCTCATTCAGGCCCTTATGGGAAAACTCTTGGATGGCAATATAAGTCCTACCTCTGTTCTTGCTGTGCTTTTTATTTTTAAAATACAATAGTGATGAAGGCTTGTTCCAGGGAGTAATGCTGTGTCAGAAAAAGGTTTTCCAAAAAGAATTTTTTTTTTTTGGTTGTGACCCCCAAAAGTGTTAAGATTTCTAACTCTTCTTGCACCATGCGCTGCTGTGTAAATTTACACGAAGGAGTTGACGCTGTTTTTGGACCAGCTCTGGTGCGTGGAGATCATCTGTGTGGTTGACGTCTCTGTGCTGGTGTGGTATTAACAGCTGAGTGGGGTGTGTCCGGCTAGCACTGGGGTCTGGCGAGGGAAAATGTGTGATGTCCTCAGTTGCTAACGGTGGCGTTTAAATGGCTCCCACTCTGAGGAGAAGGACCCCGCAAGCATGTTGCGTCTCCTGTGCTGTTGAGCCCCAGTAGTTGTGCTGAGGTTTTGAAAGCACTCAAGTGTCCGGTGGGGGCAGTGGTTCTGAGATGTGGATCGTCCTGCCAGCAGCCCCAGCACTCAGGTTCATTTGGTCATATCTACTCGTATTGGGGGAGGAAAGGAGATTCCAGCTAAGAGAAATGTGGCTGTTGGAAAGCTTCATAGATGTTTACAGTTGCCCCTTCCTGTGGGGAGAATTCTGCCTGTTTCTCTTCGGCTCTTCCTTGCAGCAAGGACGGGGTACAGGAGGGGTCTGCGGTCCCAGCCTGGGCTCCATCAGGAGCCCCTTTAGGATCAGGTGAGCGTAGTGTGTCATGCTGCCGTGGGGCTGTGGGCTTAAGTGGAGGGTCATCTGGTGTCAGTCAGCAAGACGGGGTATTAAAATATTTGAAGAGAGAAGCGGCTTGATTAGAAAGGTTTAATTCAGGGGTCAGCAGACTCTCGTGTGTGGCCCCGTGAGCTAAAAATGGTTTTTAAGAAAATTATTTATAAGAAAATAATAGGCAACGAAGATCGGTAGCCTGTAAAGCCTGAGATATTTGCTATCAGGCACTGCGTAAAAAAGTGCTGACCTCTGGTTTTATTTGACAACATAGAGCTGCCCAGGGCCCTCTGGGAAGAAAGTGGGAAAATGCGAAGGCCTCCCTGCTCCTTCAACACCTCAGGCCAAATCCTCCCAACCCAGACCTTGCCAGCCCACCCCCACGGTGACAGGGTGGCATGGCTGTGTCAGAGGAGGAATGCTGCTGGCTGAAGCCTTCCCACAGTTGCAGCTTGCACTCAGCTGGGTCAGCCAGATTAATTCAGTAAAACTAGAAAGCCTTCAAGGACCAGCCAAATTCTAAAGGTGGGTGAATGAGTCACCATCTTATATTGGTCAGAACTGGGACCCCAAGAGCAGCCATTCTAGAGAGCACCCAGGGTCTTCAAGACCAAGGCCAGTCCATATTTCAACTGGTAGGTAGTTTTTGCAAAATCCCTCTCTCTGAGAACTTTTTCTCGCTGACTTTATTATTTTTTTTTTCAAGTATACATTATTTTACTTTAGACAAATTTATTTTCCCACCACTGTCCATTGAAATTACCTTAATAGTGATTATCTACTTATTCCTGAAAGCCCTGTTATGTTTTTCTTCCTCTCTCTCAGCCAACAAAAGTATATTCTCAAAAGAAAAAAAAAATCAAGTTCAATATGTTTTGCCAAATTAAATTTCATGTGGTAGATCAATTTTTGTGTCAAAATAATCCTTTAGATTTGGTGATGACAGGCTTATGGTTTTTTTCACCATGCCCATGTATTAGAGTGATATATTTTTGAAAACTTTAATTTTGAAAGCCATAATTTTGCTAATCTAGTTAAAGGGTGGGAGGAGGACTACAAATATGAGTGAGATTTCGGCTTTGTCAAAAATAATCCATTTGTTCTCAGAAGCACAGCTCGGACGTTTACATCGAAACAGACCAGGGTGTAGGGCCCTATTAGAGCAAAATGAAGCATTCTTGATTTGATGGATAATACTCTGGCCTGAAGGAAAGGTTAAAGATATCTCTCCTAGACCCAGGTCAGTTACACGTTAACATATGGCAAATTGCTATTTGAAATATACTAACAAGACGAGCATTTGTCAGACTTGGGAGCATCTTGGCAAAGACAGATTCATACCAGTCTCCGAAAAGAAATTTTGCTCAATAAGATATGCCATATCCTGACCGATGCTATGCCTGTAATCATAGCTGATGGGGAGGATTCTGAAAATGAGTGGCATAAGTGAGAGGCAGGGGTGTATGCCATAAAAGTCACTGATTTGGGTGACTTCCATTTTCATGGAATGCCTTTGTCAAATTAGGAAAGAACAAAAATTTTGTAAATCAGCTCGATTTCATGTATTCAGCTGCATTTCATCATCCACCTCACCTTTCCCTCACTTTCATACAGCATGCCATAAGTTAGACTGAAGTAGATCTTCATGTTGCATTGATACAGGGAGGCCGTCTTGTCAAGTTTTGTTAAGTGTAAAGGGGAAACTGGCCCCGGAGAGGAGAAATTATGCTGCCCTCTGATCTTGCTTTGACAATGCCAATTTGCATTTCTTTGCCTTGGAGCAATGTCTGTCATTGCACGAGCTTCTTAAGAACAAGGTTCTTTTTCTTGGTATTCCCTGCCTCCTTTGTCTCAGTGTGGGGACCCATACCAACCTCCTGGGGGGTGGAGGTGGTGAACAGTCTCTGCCAGGTAGTAGTACCCTGTCCATCTGGTATGCAGATCACTCACCAGGTGCTCACAGATGGCTGTACTGTTCAGCCTCCTTCAGTTCCACCCCGCCCTCCCAGCATAAAAGCATTCCAGTCCATTCTAAAGTCTTCTCCCTCATGGGTAAGCCCAGAGCATGCCACAGGATGGAGCCGAGTTTGCAATAGAATTAACACCTTCAGGACAACCCTGTACTTCAGTACTCTTGTCTCACCACACAGGCCTGATCCCAGAAGGCTGATGAATCCTGCTGGTCCCCTGGAGCCATTTCTCCCCATTAGGAACAAATGTGGTATCATTTAGCCAAGCTCTTATAAGTAACTTCGCCCAGGGTGTCCAAAGGGAGACTTTGCTCTCTGTTGGCTGGAAATGCTTGGTGCCAGAATACATTTCACCCAGCTCTACTCTGGCTTGCCACCTAGCAGGGTTTCCCCAGACACACACGATGCAGTGAGGGCAACCGCTCCACCTCTGGCAGGAAGACGGTGGGCCGGGAAATTTGTGACATCTGGTCAGCATAGCGTAGGGTCACCTGCTGTGTTCTCTCTCACCCTACAGGTTCTTGCCAGTTCTTCATGCCAATCCAAGGTAGTTGATTGACCTCCATGCTTGGCTACTTGGTTTTTTAATTGTCTGCTCTGCAACTGAATACCTGTGTGTATGAGTTCAGGCCACATGTGTATGTATGTGTGTGTGGTGTGTGTATTTGAATATATATATAGTTTGAATCAAATCGTCATGTGCATCACTTCTCTCATTCACACACATGCTGTCACCCGAGCTGTGAAGCGGATCACCTGGAACAATCTGGAGTGACACTGCTTAGTGTTACTCTCGGTAGATCTGGACACGACTGCCTTGTTCTGGTCTTGGGTTAGGTGCCACAGCTGTGGCTTCAGTCAGTCTCTTAAACAGGAGTGTTTATAACCAGACCGCCGGGCCTCTGCTGTTCTTTCTGTTGGCCATACTGCACAAGAAGGTGGCTACTTCCTCCCTCTTTTCCAACACTGTAATTATTGTTTTACAATTGAGTGCCTTAATAATAGTTTACAAATACTATGTATTTATGGGAAACTGTTAAGCTCTCACCTTCTGTGATTGGATACTTTGCCTTGTTTGTGGTTGGCATTAGGGCTGGAGCTTGGCCTGCCCCGTACTGTGCTCATCTGCTGTGCAGTCATACGCGTGTGCCCACAACTGTCTAAGGAGCATTGCTGGAAACGCACTGGTAGTTCCTACAGATGAGGCAGGCACTGGCTCATGCTGCATCCCATAGTAGTGAGGAAAGAATTAGAATTTTGTGTGCGAGCCAGCCAGGGGCGGTGTAGTCCAGGTGCCCTCTGGACCGCAGCCCAGCCCCTCACCATCCCGCCATCACACAGTTAGTTATACTCTTCTTTAATAGAGATTTTTATTACCACCTAGACCACCCTATTTTCCTCTCTGTTGGTATCCTGAGCTCTTTGCAACAAAATGCAGGTACTGACCCCCACCCCCAAATCAGGAGCTCCACCAGATGGGTTGCCCTTTGGTTTTCAGAAGCTGCCAGTGGGTTCCAGTATGTTGCATAATGATATCAATTATTTTTTTATTATATTGGTTTTTCTCTTTTTTTTTATATTATATATTTAAAAGGCAGTATCTTTTGTACTGTGAATTTGCAGTAGAAGATGCATAATGCACTTTTTTTACTTCTGTTGTGTACTGTATATAGTCTGTGTGCTTCTTGTGATGAAAATAAACTTTTTGTTTATAAATGCCTGATGACCTATGAACTTGTGCAAAAGGAAACTGCCTTTTCAACCCCTGCCAAAATAGTCGGATGCATCTTCATCACCATGATGGCCAGTCTTTACTGAGCACCTACTATGTGCTGGGCCCCATGCTGAAAACCTGGGCAAGTTAGACCAAAGAAAGACCCAAGGAAAGAATTGTTGGCTCTTCCAGAAATTGTCTTTTTTCCCTGATTTTGTCAGTGAAGAGCAGGCCCACTTGTGGGTGGTCATTTGTATAACAAAGAACGCTGCCTCCACCACAGTGGGACTTGGACTTTGGGTCGTGTGTCTTCCTGCACAGAAACAAAATATAAAGCTAGAACCACCTAAGCTACTTAGAACCACCTAAGCTACTGCTACCATACCTCGTGGGAGAGGAGGCTGTAGAGGCGATTATTGCTAACGGCCAGGGCAGGACTCCCAGGGAGTCTCAGTTGCTGAACATGGCTTATCTTGCACTTAGGACACAATCCACTGCAGGTCAGGGCCTTTTGGTGGCTGTCCTCCCTAGGTGACTAGCAAAGCCAGCTGTTTCTATTTAAAACCCTGCCATCTTTGAGTTCCTTGCTTCTAGCTATGTAGTCAGGGGAAAGAGCATGGGGACTCATGTTGACTCTTACCTGTCTTTATCTGGCTGCAATATGTGAAATCTCATGTTCTAATGGAAGAAACCTGTGACATAGCCCCACCCCACCTGCCGGGGGCTGGGAGATGTAAGGTGCATATATACCCGGTGAGCACTCACTGTCTACCACAAGTACCTTAGCGTGACCACTAAATTTCACTGCCTGTGGGTTCAGAAAATACTAGGTGTCATTCACCTAGACTTGCTCTGTCTCACTTGGACTCAGAGGAGAGTGATGGATAAACCAGAATACAAGTTTATTACTTTATAAGAATTATAGCTTTGAAGCAGGCCAGATATTCTCACTTGCCATGAAGCACATTGAGTCCTAGATAAATCTTCATGTAAAGTCAAATGATGGTTAGAAATTGCTTACTTGAGTATAAAAGCAAATGGTCAGTGGAATGATTCTAATGGTTAACGTTGACAAGCAGTAACACAGCCTTCTCTGTAAGATGTTTTTGAAACAACCTTTGAGGGTCATAGTACAGAACACTCTTCCTTGGCCAGGCTGGAGGCACCTAAAAATTCTCTTCAGGCTCCAACCAATCAGAGCCTCGGGATGGGGCCCAACACTATGTTTCTGATGGATTCCCTGACAGCCAAGTTTAGAAGCCGTCGAAATAAGAATGTGACGCAATCGAGCAGGCTTCCACTTGGCTAGTTACAATCACATTCCACACATGCTTTCTGGAGACAACACCCACATCACCCTAACAGAATGTGGGTGTTCCCAAAACTTGTCAGATACTCATTTACCCAGGGCCCTCAGAGAATGTTTCTAGAATAGCTGCATTTACCCTGATTTCCTCCTCAGAGTAGCAATCCCAAGGTTGAGTGTGATTCCAGATCACACCTCCAGAGAGAGTGGTTTCTCAGGGAGGGCCCAAGTGCTTGCTTGTGTTTATACCTGGGGAAGCCCCTCTGGGCAAGATGCATGGAAGAAGCTCCAGCAGGAAGAGCTTGGAGGATGATGGGCGTTACAGGAGGATTCACTTCATGGTAGGAAAACCCTTTCCAAAGGAGATATCCACCAAGTGTACAAAGTGAGGCCTGCCCAGAAAACACCACCCACCTATCTTGCACTCAACACGAGCAAGGAGAGTGTTTCTCCTGTGCCTTTGTGTGCCCAGCACTTGACATAAGGAATCCTTTTACACTGAGTCCTCTAAGTGGCCCTGTTGACATTATCCTCAGTTTACAGATGAAGAAACAGACAGGCAGTGTCAGTCATTTGCCCAAGATTACATCTAAAAATGGTGAAGCCAAATACAGAGAAAGAAAGGAAAAAATGGTGAAGCCAGACAGTAGTGCTCCACCTGAAACCCTGTTCCCCACCTCAAGTAGAAAAAAGCAAGCTGACACTGCATCTGAATCTCCCTTTAGATGTCAGTAAGGAAACTCAAGAGTCCGAAATGAAGCCTCCAGCCCTGGGAAATCTGACCCGTGTCCCTGTCCCAAAGGCTGTCTAGGCAACACAAGATGTTTCCCTTCCCCAAATCGTAGTCACCATGCTTTGCCTTTAAAGAAGAATCGCTCACGCATTCTGAAATATATTTGCAGAAGGTCCCGTTTCAGTCTGAATTTTTTTTTT